CTGCAAGAGAGAAGCGGGTCAGGGCTGAAGGGTCCGGCGGACTCTGCTTGGGATACGGGCGGGGAAACGAAGCCCAAGAGAAGCTTCCATCTACGCTTCCCTCTTCCCCAATAGGCGGCAGCGAGGGGTCTTTTTAAAATATATTTTATCGATTTTTTTACAGAGAGGAAGAGAGCGGGATATAGAGTTAGAAACATCGACAGGAGAGAAACATCGATCAGCTGCCTCCTGCATATCTCCTACTGGGAATGTGCCCGCAACCAAGGTACATGCCCTTGACTGGAATCGAACCCGGGATCTTTCAGTCCGCAGGCCGAAGCTCTATCCACTGAGCCGAACCAGCTTTGGCAGCAAGGGGTTTCTGGTGGAAGCTTTGGCACCGCCTAACCTCCATCAGCTCTTCCCCAAGCCACCAGAATAATCAATCCTACAGGCTAAGAAGCTGACTTCTTCAACGCTTCTCCCAGCCCCGACCAGTCCATTCCAACCAACGCCCCCCCCCCAAACCCCTCTCCTATACTGACATTCTGGAACTGCCTGTGGTTGACCTCCCCTGCCTTTGCTAAACTCTTCTCGTTGGCTGTCTGTCCTCTCCCCCGGGCCCTTTTTCTTAGGGTCTGGCCCTACTCCTCTTGGGGACCTCCCCAGCCCTGCTCCCATCTCTCTACCTTTCCCTCTCTTTACAACACTCATTAATTTCCTCACCTCTCGCACCTCATTTTCTACGAACATGTCTTCCTCCTGCCTCTCCCCTGGCTCCATCTGTCGGCCGCCCCTCCCATCTCTCTCTCCTGCTGCTTTTCCCGATCAATAATGCCTCCACCCCTGGTTGCTTCATCTTCAGTACAATTTCATTACTTTTCAAGCAGCCAACTTCAGAAGGAACAGGAAAAAGAAATGTTTCTCTGTGAGGTGACAGACAGCCTTCAAGATCGTTATATGTAATTAAATGTTTCAAAGAGGGGATATCTGAGCCAGCTTTGCAGAAATTCACCCCACAGCGGTGGAAAGGGGCTGAATAGCAGAGCCCCAAGTAGGTCACCCAGCCTGCCGCCACTGCCCACTCTTATCCTCAGCGGGTGCACACAGGACACACAACAACAAGATGTCTTCAGACGTGCCTCATTCACTCCAATCCTGGAGAAGAGATGCAGGTTGAGTTCAGGCATGGACAGGCACAAACAACATTCAATGGAGAGAAAGACTGTCCGAGCTAAAGCGAACAGATAAGACTTCCTAGGACAGAAGGCATCTGAAATGAGCTGTAACAGGTGTCTCAATTGTCTGCCTTATCATGGTGACCAACTGCCCCAGTTTCAGCACTGAAAGTGCGGTATCCTAAGAAACCCTCAGACCTGGGCAAATGGACTGGCTGGTCAACCTATTGCCTGAAGACAATGAGATGGTTAATTGACCTTTGTGCTCCAGTGATTCTAGGGTTTAGACTCAGGAAACCAGGCATGTGAGTGGGATTGGGGCAGGCTCAGTATGAGCAAATAGACAGTGGCACTCAAGTATTGGGCATGTACAAGAGCACAAGGTTCTTCAAGCCAGTGAATGGGTCTTTGGAGATTACCAACCCCCTGCATGTACCTCTCACTTGTTGACTAGGAGGGTCAGGTGATCAATGTCATGGAGCCTGTCCATCATCCTTTAGCAGATGTAACCCTGTGGAAATCAGTTACAGTGTTTGGACAGGTTATGTTCCGAACCTGTGGTCCCACGTGGCTAAGTGATATAAGCTGCGGGAGGTGCAGCAAATAAACAAAGCTTGATCAGGTGCATGTAATTGAGTAGATTCAGAACCCAGGAGAACATTGTAACCACACCCTTACTTTGCCTCATGGAATCTGGTTATAAAATGAAGACACGGTTTGCAGGCTGTGGCACTGCCTCTCTCCATCAGAGATAGCAGTGTCCAACCCAGACCCACCTTTATTCTCTTGTCTGTCTTTTCTTAATCCTTCACCTCCCCCTCTCAGGCTCACCGAACCTGGCTGAACTGGTGCAGCACAGAACCATGTCAGGCTCCATATCCAATTCATCCGATTTTGTTTTATCCCTTCTTTGTGCCCCAATATTCACACATACACACTGAGCTGCCAGGTTATGAGTGAACATCACTGTCTATTTTCCACCTGGCACTACTACTATGAAGGTGAGGCATAAATCAAGGACAATAGCCAAAAGAATTTTGAGAAAGAAAAGAAAACCTGGAGGCATCATGCTTCTTGATTTCAAACTATATTACAAGCTATAGTAACCCAAACAGTATGGTATTGGCTAAAAACAGACATATAGGTCAGTAGGGCAGAATAGAGAGCTCAGAAATAAACCCATGCAAATAATATACAGTCAACTAATTTACAACAAATGAGCCAAGAATATACAATGGGGAAATAACAGTTTCTTCAATAAATGGAGTTGGGAAAACTGGACAGGCACATGCAAAAACAAAACAAAAACAAAACAAACAAAAACAAACAATAAAAAACAAAACAAAACTGGAGCACTATCTTACATATAGATAAAAATTAACTCAAAACAGATGAAATATTTGAACGTAAGACTTAAAATCATAAAACTAAAAGAAAACATGGGCAGTAGGTAAGCTCCTTTATCATGAGTCTTAGCAATGATATTTTTGGATTTGATACTAAAAGCAAAGGCAACAAAAGCAAAAATAAATGGGATTACATAATACTAAAAAAACTTCTGCACAAAGAAACCATCAACACAATAAAAAGACAACTTACCAAATGGGAGAAAATATTTGTAAACCATTTATCAGACAAGGATTAATATCCAAAATATATACAGAAGTCATACAACTCAATAACAAAAAAGCAGACGATGTGATTAAAAAATGAAACAGATGGTGGTGGCCTTGACTACAAAGGTAGTGGCCATTGGGATGGACAGAGGGGGACAAGAGTCCAGCTGCATTTATGAGGTAGAAGCAGCAAGGATTTGTGATTGACAGGGTGCTTAGGGAAGGAAGAGGAAGGAAAGAGTATGTCACCCCAGCTCTGGTGTAGACTGCTGGGTGGATATTGGTATCACATTCTTTACAGGAAACACCAGGGGAAGGGGAAATACTGGGGGGAAGAGAAGGAGGTTAATTTTGGTCATTGTCTAAGGCACATTTAAGGTGGCATCCAAAACCCGTTCACTTACCACTAACAGATGCACTAACATTAGTGTGTTTTCATTCTTCTACTCGTCCATCCAAAAAAGATTTAGCAAATACCTGCTAGTGCCCTTTCGGAGTGTGCAGTCTAGTGGGGACTGTGAAAGTTCATATGGGTTCTCAGACCACAGATTGGGCGAGTGTGTGTGCATATGCACACATACAAGTTTGTGTCCTCGTGTGTGTATGTGTTTTAGGCCCTTAAAAAATAAGCAGGGACGGCACTATGTGTCACAGTAGAAAACGAAGGAAACAGACTAAAAAATGTAGACTAGCTAGAACCGGTTTGGCTCAGTGGATAGAGTGTCAGTCTGGGGACTTAAAGGTCCCAGGTTTGAGTCTGGTTAAGGGCATGTACCTTTGTTGCTGGCACATCCCCGGTAGGGGGTGCGCAGGAGGCAGCTGATCGATGTCTCTCTCTCATCAATGTTTCTAACTATCCCTCTCTCTTCCTCTCTGTGAAAAATGAATAAAATATGTTTAAAAAATAAATAAATAAAATAAAAAGTGTAGACTAAAAAGCAAAGCAACTTAGCAGCCATGAATACAGGGGCAGGTAGCCCCTAATATCCAATTTAAAATATCTTCATTAGAGAGTGTAATCTATACACAGACATCCCCACCCCTTCCCCACAGGGATTAAGTGAAAAAAGGTTCTCATTCCCAGGGATGAGCTTCACTTATCTAGAAAATCCACCTACAAGCATCTCACCCTCTGCAAAGACAGAAATGAGGCAGAGCTTCTGTGAGTCAATTATTGACCCTGTTGCAAATGAATAAAAACTAACATCATTAAAATTACAACATAATTTTGCATTCTTTCACCAATAAGCACAAACTCTTCCCAATTTGGTCTTGGAATGGTCCTCACACACTTAAAAAAAAAAAAAAATCTGTCACAGATGCTCCTTCCTAATTATTCTTGGCTTTGGCTGATTTTTCAAATGGATGTATCTTATTGGGCAGCTAATGAGGGCTTGAGGGGCTCCCAGAAGTGTGAGGCCTGGCTTGTTCTGTCCCTGTGAGCTGGCCAACTCCCCAGCTTCCCACCAGTGGATCTCCCTGCTGACCTCTTCAGACTGTGGGCCCACAGACAAGCTTCTACATTTGTAACCACAGTGAACACACACCAGGCCATGAGAGAAAGGGATACAAAAAATTTTGTCATTTAGTAATTTTCATAACAATCTATTGGTAGGGGACGCTATTATTCTCCCCATTTTACAGATGAGAAAACAGAGGCCCAGTGAGGTTAAATAGCTTATCCAAGGTTATACAGTTAGGGAGCGACTGGGTGTCTGGGCTCCTAACCCCTGCTTCCTACTGGGTGTGGTCTGGTGTTGATGGAAGAGGGAACTTGGGATGTTGGTTGCCAGCCTGGCGTAAGCAGCCACCTTGGATAACAGACAGATGAGAAGGCGCAGAGACGCATCTGCCAGGGCGTGGTTTATGTGTGAATGGTGGTCAGAGGCCCAGGTTTTCCATGACAGGTCCAATTTCACCTAATTTTATTCTCTTCAGTTAAAGTAATTTATCTACTTGGAATACTTTCCACATGATAAAACATATCTAACATACATTTTGTCATTTTAATCATTTTTAAGGGTATGGTGAATTCAGTGGCACTCATTGCGTTCACGTCTTGTGCAACTATCACCACTATTTCCAAAACGTTTCCATCACTCCAAACAGGAACTCCGGAGCCATTAAGCAATAACTCCCCCTCCCTTCCTCCTTTCTGGTGACCTCTATCTACTTCCTGTCTCTATGAATTTGCCTGTTCTGAATATCGCTATAAGTGGAGTCATTC